TATTTAAAGTTATTAATGAAAGATGAGTATTGAATCCTGCCATTTTTATTTCTATTTACATTCATGATGTAGCTGTACTTTTCCACAGTTATGTCTTCATTGAATTTCTTTCCACAACCCCTTGGGTATAGTCATTCCTTTCTTCAGCTCTTTGTATTGCTTCCAGAACTCTCTGAAGGGCTTGTTTTGTGGACATGAATTCCTTCAGACTCTTTATGTCATGGAATATTTTTCTTTCCCCTTTGACTATAGTAGCCATTTTGGTTGGGTATAGTAAGCTCTTTTGGCTTTCATAGTTTGCACTGAAAAGTCAGCTGTAATCCTAATGGGTTTTCCTTTATATGTGACTTGTTTCTCTTCTGCAGCTTTCAGAATTTTGTCTTTGTTTTGTACGTGTAGTGCTTTTACTATGATGCCATGGAGCGTTTCTGTTCTGGTCCTGTCTATTTGGTGTTGTATATGCTTCTTGTATTCATATGGGCATGTCTTTAATTTTGGGAAATTTTCTTCCACAGTTCTGTTGAAGACCTGGTCCATGCCATTATCTTGGGATTCTTCTCCTTCCTGTATGCCTATGATTTGTAAGTTTGGTCTCTTTATGGTGTCACACAATTCCTGCATATTCCATTCTTGTGATTTCTTAAAATTTTCATAATCTTTGCTTGTGTGTTCTAGTTCGTCCACTTTATCTTCCAGTCTTGATAGTCTGTTTTCCATTTTGTTCATCCTATTGGTGAGGCTTTCTCCTGTCAGTTCTAATTGTCTTACTCAGTGTTTCATTTCCTTCCTTATCCCTATCTTCCTTCAGTTCTTTGATTTGTTTGTGTGTTCTTTGAATTCAGTGAATTCTTTTATCATGTTTATAATTGTTCTTTTGAGTTCTATGTCCTCCACGTTATCTCTAGGGGGTTCTCATTGTACTCCTCTAGAGGACTATTGGTATTTGGTGGGGAGATGCTATTTTAGTTTTTCATGTTATTATTTTTTCTCTGTGATTTTGACATGTGAATTTCTTTTGTAGTTTCTGATTCTTGTGTGAGACTCAAGCCTTCAAGTTTAGGTCTGCTTCTTTTTGTGAACTTTGTGTGTCTTTGTGGTGTCCTTTTTGGGCATGAAAAGCTGGTTTGTCTAAGCTTCTGGTTCTCTATTTTGATTTTATATTGGAGTGGCCAGATTGCTTTTGTCTTCAGGAGTTCCCACAGAGGCCCAAATCAGATGAAGATCAGATGCTCTCAGGCTTTCTCCTAAGGTCTGGATCCCTCCAGGATAGATTTTGGCTTCAGGAATTTGGGGATTCGACTGGCCTGGGAGCTGGGCCCAGGAAAGATGCTGCTCTAGGGCAGCTGGTGGCAGTGCCACCCAGAAATGTAAATGGAAGCTGGGGGTGGGAAGTGGCCCCAAGGGCCCCTGGGGACTGCACTAAGGAGCTGGGTTGGTCTGGGTGCAAAGGACCAGGAAGGGGAAAGGTCAGCCCCAGAGTCCAGAAAAGAGGCTGGCTGGTTGTGCAGACCCAGTGAGGCAGAGGGAGGTAAGGGCGGGGCCAGGCCCGAAGCAGTGCTCCTGGGGATCTGAGAAGGAACTGAGTTGCTTTGGGTGCACAGAATCAGGAAGAAGCAGTGGTGGTTCCCCACGTGTCTGGAGCGCCCAGACAAGGAGTGGGACAGGTCACAGGCTAGGAGGAGAGACCGGAGGGGCAGATGGGAGGATGAGTGGCGCTGGGGGAGTCAAGGCATGGATGGCCCAATTGACTTACCTTGGAAAGAAAGCCTGTGGGTTGAAGAGAGCTTATTTATTGTTTTTATGTTCTGTGTATGCTTGTATTGCTTGCATATAGGTAAGTGCACCTGTGTCATGCAATGTCCACAGAAGACAGAAGACAGTAGAGGCTGTCGGATCCCCTGGAATTGGAGTTACAGACAGTTGTTAGCTTCCATGTGGGTGCTGGGATTCAAACCCAGGTCTTCTGAAAGAACAGTCAGTGTTCTTAACCACTGAGCCATCTCTCCAGCCCCAAAAGATTTAATTTTGCGAAATGTCTAAATGGGATAATGTAATTGTAGTTTTTGGCTTTATGAACCCTACTTTGCCTCTCCTCTGGGTCGAGAATTCCTTCTGGCATGAGCTTGCCCTTGACTGCCAGCTAATAAAGAACTCTTAATTCAGCCATGACTGTGTGGCATTCGTCCGTGACTCATGACTCACGTTGGGTACACTAGTATCCCCTCCAGAAATCTGAACTGAACATGAAGCCCCTTTAGGAGCAGCATCTTAGGGTGCGACTCCTGTTGCTTGTCACCTTGCATTCATCAGGGACAGCCTGTCACAGCTTCTTCTCCTCTGCCCTGTCCTTCCTCTCACCCTACCTGACACCCCAAGAGACTCTGTGTCTCTTGTAGTAACTTCTACTCATCCCCAAATCTTTCCTGTTCTCTTTATACAGCCTTTTGTCTTGTTTATAGCATTTGTAAAAACTGAGATATGTCATATTACATAAACGTATTTAGTGTTATTTTAGCATACACATGCAAATATTCTCATCACCTAATTGTAGACTACTTCCATTACCTCCAAACAACCCTGTGTCTATGTGTGTCACAGCAGGTGGTCTTGATTCTCCCCTCACTCCTTTCATGGCTTCTGTACTCCCCTTTGTTAAAAAAAAGATGTGCTTACAGGTGGGAGGGATTATGGGAGATGAAGTGGTCCTGGACTGGAGGGCTGGAAGAGGCTATCTAGGCACTGGGTACTGGATAACTAAAGTGATCACTCATTCAAAGGGCTGTGGTATAGGGGTTCCTTGAGAGCTGGGAACCTTGGAGAAGTCAATGACAAAGGCACAGACGCTTTGACTGATTGATGAGTAGAAAGGCTAGAATGGTAGAGTTCAGAAAGATTACAAAGGCTCAAGGTCCAGGGTGGGGTGAAGCCTTGTGCTGGTTCTTGTGTTAGTGAAGGTGCTGTTGGGGACCCTCCTTGTGTAAAGTAGCAGTCTCTTCATGTCCGGATAGCCCATGGGCTCGGCTTCAAATGCAGAGACTTCTTTTTCAGCAGGGTGTCTTCCCAGCGTCTTCCTGACTCATCTTTTGAAGTAGCCGCCACAGAAACATGGCCTCCGGCTCTGGAACTGCCAGGTTTTCCTGTGTGATTTTCAGGCAGTCTGGCAGCCTGGCAGGAGCCCACTTCCATATGTAAATAGGGGATCCCACAAAGTACCTATCAGCTAAGGCTTCTTTACCACTACCCCAGTATAAAGTATCCTAGTTTTCCCTCAATAATTGGAGCTGGATCACTAAGACTTGGAGCCGAGTTGAGTCACTGAATAAAGGCTGTACCACTGAGATCAGAGCTGAGTCCTGTGTCTTACTGCCTATGATCCAGTCTCCCCGGGGGGCGCTATCCTTCCGTCATTGACTCCCGGAAACCCAGCTTTAGCCGCCCCGCACCTTCTGGCGTGACCCGGCAGCTGACAGATCTTGCATCTTGAGGAAGTGCACGGGTGAAATTGGGGCGGAACTCGACCGGGCCAGCCCCGGTAGCAGAGACACCCACAGTGGAGAAGCAGCGGAGAAGAAGCAGGGACCTGCCAGCAACGAGGAGCAGACGCGCCACGGGACCCGCCGCCTCCCAGCTGCGCGCAGGAGACCGGTGCCACGCTAGCAGCTGGCGCCCCGAGATCCCTGCGCACCCCATAAGGTGCAGATACTGAGCTCCTGGAACAGAGTATTCACCAGTATTCACACACTGACCCAGTAAGAGAGAGGAGTCATTGAATTCCAACATTGAGATGCAAGTTGCTAGGCAGCTTGGGACATAGGTGTATATGCTTCCCAATGTTGACCAGGGGTCCATTCTGTCATTGCTTGGCATCCCCAGGGACATGCTTACCTCCACATGGAAGTTGACCCTTAGCTAGACATTCCCACCCATAGGAAGGACAGAAGAGGACAGCGAATACAAGAACACTCCTCAAATGAACAAGACCTAGAAACTGCACACACCATCTCTCACTTGCCATCAGTCAGAACTTGGGGAGAAGACCATTTGAGCTGTAAGGGAGGTAGGGACACTATGTACCCTGCTGCACCCTCAGCAGTCAGGAGGTCAGAGGGCAATAAAAAGAATGAAAATGATTCATGTAACACTGAGGGACATCTGGTGCCACAAAATTGATGCCACAGGCCTTAGCATATATGACAGAGTACATGACATAGGGGAGGGGAACTGAATATGGTTAAGATGTATGAAATGCTCAAAAATTCAATAAAATATATATTGTAAAAAAGAAAGTGGTTCATTTTATAAATTTCAAATATTCTTGGTTTACTACAACAAAGGATTTTTTTTTAAAGAGAGGAGATCATGAAAATCCCAGCATTCTGGGGGCAGAGGCAGGCAAATCTCTGTGAGACTGAGGCCAGCCCAGTCTACACAGTGAGTTCCAGGCCAGCTGGAGCTACAGGAAGACTGTCTCAAAACAACAACAACAACAAAATAGGTAGCAATTATTAACGTTCTATAGTCAACAATCTAGAAAATCCATGCTATTATTTGCAGAATATATACAAAGTATTACTTGGTTAATATTTAAAATTTATTTTTCAAAAGTTATAGAACACGTTTATCCTTTTACATTTATCTCCCAGATTTCATTCATTTTACAGTAGATTTTAAAACTTCAACAGGAACTAAACCTTTGATTTTCCCAAAACTCTGGCTGCAGAGAGCAGAGCTCGCCTGCTGTACCCTACTACCTCTCCTTTGTCTTAAAGCTCACGGCTGGTGATGCAGAACTAAGAACCTGCAATGAATATACACCTGTTTTTCCCATCATTGTCTCCTTTGCCCCCCATCTGTTAGCATCTCTATGAGCATTTCACCGGAAGCACTCATCACCTCAAGGGAACCAAAACCAGAGAATAAAGGAAGAGTTTCTTGGGCTTTGGGATTCACAGCCACAGTTTGATTGTAAGATTTGCAATTATTTGGTAAAACACAATTAGGTAGAACTAGAAAGGAAGGGCTCTCTATGCCACCAATCAAAGAGCAACGAGAAAGTTGACAGTTCAGTGGACAGAGAGGGTTGAACCTCTGCTGGGACCAGGATGGCTATGGCTTGGTTATGACTTGAATGTGCTTCCCCAGGCTTCCTGTGTTTGTGTTGGGAGCTTGGTCTTCAGTGCGGGATGTTGGGAGATGGTGGGCTCTTTAAGAAACAGGGCCCAGTTGGAGCTTACAAGACTGTCTCATCCATGTGCTCTGGTTTCCTGTTTCTTCATGTGAACATTACCACCATCATGTCATAGCCTTGAGGGGAGGTATTTGGAGCTCTCATCTTCTGTTGCCTCTTTCTGTTTCCCCTGTTGTCTGAGCTGCACTGGAAAAGAAGAGGTCACTGAACGATGCTTATTTCAAAAGGTCATAGATGTCATTGAGTTTCTGTAACTTCTGCTCTAGGTCCCAAGCCTGGCGTCGCAGCTCCGCAGCAGACTCTGCCTTTGCCCCCTCCTGCAAATGCTTTGACTCTTTCACAAGGCTGACCACATCCATCAGAAGGAAGACACCTGCAGTTGCTGCACCCATGATCCGGGCTCCTTTGGTCATTGCCAGAGCGGTACCTCCAAAGGCTCTCTGCACCTGTTTAGTGCTTCGGGCCGAGATCCTCCCTGTGGTCATGAGGCGCTTGGCATTGGCTGCTAAGCGAGGATTGGCTTTGGCCAGCTGGATGGCACGGATATTCTTCCTAATGCGTTGCAGGTTTTGGAAGCAATTCCTGGGTAAGGAAGCAATGCTGGATGTACTCAGGATGACAGGTTTTGTAGCCCCCTCCACTGTGTTCTTGCTGGTTGGAACCAGGCATTTGGCTTCCGCTTCAGCTGACGACATGTTTACTTGTTCGACAATGCTTGTGGAAACACTAGTCACTGCTGCTGCTGCTCCCAGACCCATCCCAGTGGCCGAAAGCATCAGACTGCCCCCTGCTGTCACAGGTGCCAGGGCGAAGCCAAGGATCGTCAGGACTCCAGAGACAGCGCCAGTAGTGTTGGCTACCACTTTGGAGATGGTGCAGTCCCTGTGTACCTTGTCCACCTTGTCGGCAAGGGCGTGGAGTTTTCGTATGCGCTCTGTAAGCTCCTGTTTTACCTGAGGATAATCTCTCAAAAACATCTCCCTGTCCTGCAGGTAATTTTGGGGCCTGTGTTCGTCGTCCACATCTGTATATGCTAAAAGCTCACTCAGAGCTTCACGCAGAGCATCTTCCTCTTCCCTGTAACAGTGGAGGCCAACTGAGTAAGAAAGCCTCTTTATTTATAAAGTGCATTCCATAAGATCTGTCCTGTGAAAATCACAGAGCATTCACTATGAATCAAATGGGAGAGCATTTTAGAGATGTATAGAAGTTTTCTTTTGCCGATGAACATGATTGGCTCACCATGCTGTGAGGGCCTTAATCTTTAAGAGGTCAGTGAGTTAAAGTCATATTAACATGTTGCTAGGTGTTTAATGTAGATATCTTCCTGCTCAAGGTCAATATCATCACTACCAAAATACTTCTCCTGTGGGAACTCTTTAAACATACACAGAGAAGTGAGGTTAGAGGGAAAAAAAAGAAACGTTTAATTCAGGCAATGTTACTATGGTATGAAGAATTGACCTTTCCTCTGCTGCCCCTGCAATGTCCTGCCTTTCAGGAGTGTCAGTGTTTGTTTGGGAGGCTCTACAAACTGTGCCCTCCTAAGAGAAAAATCCTAAATCTAAAATTCTCCAAAGTTAGAAATTTTTTTTTATAGTGCAGTGATGCTATACACCTGACCTGACAGGATAGTTCTTGATGAAGATCTGTCACTCAAAGCATGTTATTATAAAATGTCCTCCCAATTGTGTGTACAAGATAAAGAAATGTGGGGGCTGGAAAGACAGCTCAGTCTTAAGAGCACTGGCTACTCTTGCAGAGGACCTGGGTTCTGTTCCCAGCACCCACATGGTGGCTAACAAACGTCTGTAACTTCAGTTTCAGGGGAATCCTACACTCTCTTCAGACTTCCATGGGCATTGCATGACACCATTGCACTTACATGCAGGCAATACATTCATGCACATAAAATAAAAATAAATAAAATATTTTTTAAAAAAGATAAAGGGATGGAGAGATGGCTCAGTGGTTAAGAACACTGGCTGTTCTTGCAGAAGACCCGGGTTTGAATCCCAGCACCCACATGGCAGCTAACAATTGTCCATAACTCCAGTTCCAGGGGATCCAACAGCCTCTTCTGTCTCCATGGGCATTGCACAACAAGGGTGCACTTACCTACACGCAGGCAATACACCGCGCATACACATTAAAAAAAGAAAGAAGATAAAGAAATGTCACTGAATTCCCTGTTCAGGCCTGGGCCCCATTTCCAAGGCATCTCACTGTGGGTCTCCAACTGTTTCAGTAGCAGGCCAAATTGAGAAGTCAAAACAAGTTCTCAAGCATTTCCCATAAAGGATTCTCAGCCTGAAAAATGTGATGTGTGGTGAGAACTTTGCTGTCATTTCTGACCTCAGGAGGAACTAGAGCTTAAAGATACTGCTCTCCAGGCAGGAGGGAGACCCCAGGTCAGTCATGGGGAGAATATGTGACCAACACAAATTCTGTACATCACAGCCAAGGTTGACAGACTCCTTCTTTGATCAGAATTCAGTTAGGGTTTGTAAATTGTTTTCCCATAGGGATAGACATTGACTTTGTATTTCTAGCCTGTGCTTGTGAGCCTGGACTTCCCAGGCATGGCAAGAATCCTGTCAGGCTTGTGAGAATACCCTACCCTTGATACTTGATCAAGTTCCCATGACCAGCCTTTGTGTTAGGCCTTGACCTGTCCTCAGGAAAGATCTCATGAGGTCACTTCACAATGTCCCTCCTCTCTGCTGTTACTCAGCTTGTTGGCTGTAAAACCCCAGCTGACCATGTATCCCGAATTGTTCTCTCTTCCCCCAGGGCACCTGTCCCAAGTAGTGTCTTCCTGAAGGCTGTTTTAACTTGCATCAGAATAATAATCCTTTCCCAGGCTGAGCTTTCCTGGTGTGCAATACTCCATGTGAACTATCACACACTATGGGACTGCATCATGTCTTGAGGACAGCAGAAGCTTCCTGCTTAAAGCCTTCCTGGTGGCCTGGTGAAATGGCTAAGTTGGAAAAGTGTTTGTCATACATGCATGAGGACCCGAGTTCAATCTCCCAGAAACCACATGAAACAGGCAGGTGCTGGGGTCATGAGTCTGTAGTACCAGCCCTGGGGAGGCAGAAGCAAAGGGATCCTTGGTTGCGTTCTGGCCTGCCAATCTAGAATTTGGTGAGTTCCAGGTTCAGTGATAGATTGATCTCAAAAAATGATGTTGACCTCTGGCCTCCACATACACACTCATGCCCAACATCAACCCCTGGCTTTCATACCTACGCACATATATGTGCACATCTACCCACACAGGTATGTACACACACACACACACACACACACACACGCACACACACACCTCTCCAAAATTCTGCTTCCTGTATCCTTTGGCTGATTTGAACCTGTGTCCTTCTATGATAAACAAAAACTATAATAACCATCATCAGTTTGTTGTACAGGGCATTCTAAAGAATTATTGAACCTACAAGCTGCTTTGGAAAGTCTCTAGTTTGTAGCCAATGTCATAAAATAGAGGTGAATCTTGGGGCCTGTACCCTAAGACTGTGCAATTTTTCTAAGAGTCTGTAGACTTATTAAAACACCTCGGAGGCAGAGGAGACCCTAAGTTTATTTTGTGCACAAATGCTCTCTTCCAATGCCCGATGATCTTTCCCTTCTCAGCTCAAGGTCTCTGGGCTGACCTCCACAAACACACAGTGGCACACACACATAAGCACACATACACATCATAAATGTAAAAAAATTTAAACCTAAATTTCATTGAGCGCTGTGCGCTGGACAGATGCTGAGTGCTCCACATGTGCCGTCTTATTTTTCTCATACTGAAGTTCAGTGGTGGAAAGAATAATGCAGAAAGTGATAAACTGACTCGCCAAGGTCATGTGAATATCAGATGACAGAAATGATCCTGTCCCTAGTGGGGGCGCCATCACTCTTCACCTGAGGCTGCTCTCTGCTAGGGAATACCACAGGGGAGATATTTGTTGAGAAGGGGAGTACTGAACCCCACCACTTTGTCTGCCTGGAGGGAGTTTGCCTGCCCCAAAATACACTGCCAGGCATGCGTTCTGGGTGATATTACTAGTGTGCCCCACAGAGGTGACCTGGACAAATCAGCCTCTGCCACCAATTCGTTCCAGGCTTCGTCTTCAGTCAGCAGGAGCTGCAGGTCTTCTCTGCTACACATGTCTAGGAGACACTCAGGCTCGATGAAGGTTTTTTCCTCTAGTTGGGAAGGAAAGAGAATGAGATTAGAGGACAGTGTGTAAAAACTTATGTGACTCCAAGCACAAGGTGGCTAAAGGTCATGTTTCTGAGCATTTACCACATTGGGTTACTTTTTAATAGGGTCACAAATGTTGGGGACTGAATTGTGTTCCCAAACTCATGTGGAAAAACCCTAACTCATCAGTGACTGTGTTTGGAGATAGAGTCTTTAAGGAAGGAAAGAAATTAAGATTAAATGAAGTCATAAATGAGGGCTTTAATCCATAGCATTAGTGTCCTCATAGTAACAACAAGAGACTCTTTCTCTCTCTTCCTCCCTCCCCCACCCTCTTCCCTCTGTTTCTCTCTTTCCATGCACATAGGGGAAACCACGAGCAGACACAGTGAGCAGCCTCCCTCTGCCAACCAGGAAGAGAGTTCTGCCCAGAACCAACCCGCCACAACTTGTCCCTGGATGTTGGCTTCCAGAGCTGTAAGAAAACAGAGGTCTTTCCTTTATAAGCCACCCACCCAGTGTCATTTTATTGGCAACCTGAGAAGACTAATGTACCAGGGAGGTGGCATGCTGCTTTGGAGAGAAATGAATCTTTTTCAGATCAGAGCAATCAAAAAGTGAGCCTTTCAGCCCCAGGAAGTTGGAAAATATGGGGTGGCTCCCATCTACCATGTGCCTTTTGCATGGCTTTTGAATAGGACTTTGAGTCTAACAGTGGTTAGCTATTAATCTTGAGTTTCAACTTCCCTGGATTAAAAAACATCTAGAAGATAACCAGAAGCCCTTATCTGGGTGTGTGTCTGAGAGGGTGTTTTCAAATATGGTTAGAACACAAGAGCTCAGAGCTAATGAGTGGGTTAGTTGTGGTGGTTTCAAAGAGTGAGTAGACCATTGGGAGATGGAGAAACTATGGCACTTGGGGCCTGGTTGGAGGAAGTAGGGCCCTGAGTGGATATGGTTGTGGCCATATCTTGTCTTGGCCTCTTCCTGTCACATATATTCATTCATGACTTGACAGTGAAGCAAATGAATTATTAACATTAATGGGATCAACAGTGTAATGACTGTAAATATTATCTGGCCATTAAAGGTCATGTTATAGTCCATTGTATTTCTGTTGCTATGATAAAATATTCTAACCAAAACATAGGGGAGGAAAAGGGTTTATTTAGCTTCCAACTCCAGGTCACAGTCCCTCATAGCAGGAAGTCAAGGCAGGAACTCAGGAGCTAGTCACACCACATCCACTGTCAAATGCAGAGAGAGAGAGAGAGAGAGAGAGAGAGAGAGAGAGAGAGAGAGAGAGAATATGTCTTTCCCCACTCACCTCTACCATGCTCAGCTAGCTTTCTATATTCTTACTCAGCTCAGGGCCCAACACATGACATGGTGCTGTCCACAATGGGTTTTGTCTTCCTACATCAATTAACAGTCAAGACAATCCCTCACAGACATGTTCACAGGCCAACTTAATCTACATAATTCCTCATGAAGACTCTCTTCCCAGGAGGGCAATAGAACAGAATGGAGAACCTGGAGGTAAACTGATGAAGCTATGCCCACATAAACTTTGACAAAGGAGGCAAAAACATACATTGGGAAAAGGCAGCCTATTCAATAAATGATGTTGACAAATTGGGATTTCCACCTACACAAACATGAAATTAGACTCATATAAAATGAATTCAAAGTGTCAAAGACCTTAGCTTAAAACCTGAAACCCTGTGTCCTAGTTTGTTTCTTCATTGCTATGGCGAAATACTCTAATACCAACTCGGGGAGGAAAGGCTTTATTTAGCTTACATCTCCTGGGTCACAGTTCATCAGGGAGCCCAAGGTAGGAACTCAGGGCAGGAACCTGGAGGCAGGAGCTAGAGCACAGGCCACGGAGGAACGCTGCTTAACTGGCTTGCTCCACTGGCACCTGCTCAGCCTGCTTTTGTATGCAACACAGCCCCACCTGCCCAGGGTGGCACCACCCACAGTGGGCTGGGCCCTCCCACATTGCTCAACAATCAAGAGACTACCCCACAGACATGACCACGGGTCAGTCCAATGGAAGCAATTCCCCAATTGAGTCTCCCTCTACCCAAGTGTGTTAAGTTGACACTAAAGCTATCCAGCACACCCTGAAACTCTTGGATGAAAATGTAGGGAATGTTCTTTAGGACATTGGGGTAGACAAGAACTTTCTGAATAGAGAATCAGTAGCAGAAGGGTTAGCCCCAAGTATCAATAGATGAGACTACATGAAATTAAAAAAAATTCTACACAGTAAAGGGAATTATCAGTAGAGTACACAGACATCCCACAGAATGGGTGAAAATCTTTATCAGCTATATATCAGACAAGGGGCTAATACAAAGAACTATAAAAATTAAATGCCAAGGAAATAACATCAGTGAACAATGGACTAGTGAACTGAATAGACAGTTTTAAGGAAAAGAAATACAAATGGCCAACAACTATTTTAAAAAGTATTCAACATCCATAGTCATCAGGGAAATATAAATTAAAACTATTTTAAGATACCACCTTACCCCAGATAGAACAACCAACATCAAAAACTCCAACAAATGTTAGAGAGGTAGTGGAAAAAGAGGAACCCTTATTCACTGCTGGTGGGAATGAAAATTAGTACAGCCATTGTGGAAATCAGTTTGGAGATTCCTCAAAAAATTGAAAATAGAACTACCATGTGATCCAACTACCTCGCTTCTGGCATATACCTAGAGAACCCCACACCCTACTATAGAGATAGTTGTACCCCATGTTTATTGTTACTCCTTCACTATAGTAAGGAAATGGAACTAACCTAGTTGTCTATAAACAGGTAAATGAATGATGAAAATCTGGTACACATGTAAAATGGAAAAATTTTCATCTACTAAGAAAAATAAAATAAAAAAATCCACAGGAAAATGGATAGAGCGAGAATGTACAATAAGTGAGCCCACCCAATCACAGAAAGTAAAAAGAAAAATAAAACTCATATTAGGTTTCCCTAATATGTGCAGCTTAGTCTATAATGTATACATGTACATTTGCAAACAAATGCATATGTGAATACAATATAATATTTAGAAAGGAGAATAAGAAAGGATAATTTTCAAAAAAGCATAGTGTTTTCTTTTTGTCATGGTGGCTATGTAAATTTAACTTTCTGGGAACTGAGGTAGTAAGAACCATTTTTGCCTTCCAGAAGAACTCAAAACATGTTATCCCTTTAGACAGTGTTTGTGAAAGCTTGGATGTCTTTTTAATTCCATTGTACATTTAATTAAAAAAAAAAAGACTCCCTTCCCAGGTGTTTCTAGTTTGTGTCAACTTTACAGTTAAAACAAACCAGCTTACAGCCCAAGTAAGTTGTCCAATGTGTATAGTTTGCAGAAATGTAGAGGCTAGGGCATAATAGAGAATGGAGTGGGGCTAAGAATGAGTCTATAATGTACCTGTGTATGTGCTTCTTAATTGTTTCAAGGAACACACTACTGAGAAAAGTACCAGGTAAAGAGGGCTAATCATGCCAATGATGGATTCTGAGGCTGGCAGCACGCGGAGTGCTGCAGGTGGTAGGGAGAGCGGAGTGGGAGGTCTGTGGTCTCTTTTTATATCAGGGCCCTGGCACCCCAGTAACACTTGCAAACCAAGGCTGCCCCACTTATCAAAGAGGGAGCATTTACCCTGAGGAATCTACCTGCCCCTGCCTTTCCTCAAGGATCCCAGGCTCTGCTGGGAGCTCTGAGTCCCTCTGATCTTTCCTCCTGCTCTTCTCTTAAAAAAAAAATACTAACACCTATTCACCCTACGAAGGGATGAGTTTCAAAAAGATATTTTCATTCAAGTGCATCATGTACTCTGACCATAGTCACTGGCCACTGTCCTTTCCTGTTTCCCTTTGTCCTTCCATTAGTTCCCTCCAATGTGTGTGTGTGTGTGTGTGTGTGTGTGTGTGTGTGTGTGTGTTAATCAAGGTTCCACATTTGAAGGAAAACACTCAATATTTGTTTTTCTAAGTCTGCTTTGCATGATGACCTCCAGTTCCTCTGCTCATTTTCCTACAAATGATATAATTTTATTGATCTTTTTGGCTGAATAAAATTCTACCATGCACACTTCACTTTTTCTTTATCCACTTATCTGTTGACGAACATGTAGATTGATTACAAATCTTAATTATTGTGACTAGTGATATGATAAACATGGGTGTACTGGTTCTTCTCTAATACACGGACTTAGATTCCTTTGGATGACCCATATTTCAGTAGAGGTCTCTCTCTCTCTCCATCCTTGCCAGCATTTATTGTTTATTTCCTAAATGATAATCATTCTGACTGGGGCCAGTTGGCATCTCAACGTAGTTTTGCCCCCTCTCTTATCCTTCAGCATGGCTGCTGAAGGCAGAACTGTGCGGAGCTGGTGAGCAGCTCGACAACTGGCATGGTTGCCAAAGCAACCGAGGGAGGGATGAACAGAGGCCTGAGGAAACAGAACTTCAGGGACTGGTGAGCATTGGACTGGTGGAGGGCTGTTCTGGGTGGAGCGTCGTTTCTAGGTGGAAGGTTGTTTCTGGGTGGAGGATTGTTTCTGGGTTTCTGTCTGAACTTCAGACTTTTATATCGGAAAAGCATCAGGCCCTGCTTGAGGTAAACACCCTTGGTAAGCAAGTGCTGGTGCTTGGCAGTGCAAGACAGGTGCCCCAACACAACTTTGGGATGGGGATGGGGTTCATTTGGAATTAATGGGGTCCAAGGAAAGGAGATAGCCAGCAAGAGGAAGACCTGCTATGTAGCAGGCACTGCCCTGTCCATGTAGACACGTTATTCAGATCCTCAGAACAAGATACAGACATGCTTTCATTGTACAGATGAGGTGAGGTAAAGGTTGACAGCTTCCAGATCACAGAGATGGCAGGGGTCAAAGATCAGTCTCATTGGGGTGTAATAAAGTAACTCTTTCTGCTGATCCAGTTATATTGGCTGGGTTTCTGAACTGGAGGGCTAAGCAGGCCCCAGAAGGGGAGTTACCTCAAATCTCCTCCCCGCCTGCTACCTGTTCCCTCTCTTCCTCCTTCACTGGCCTCCGTTTCTCAGGCTGGGTAGGAAGAAGGTGGCCTCTGAGAATGTGCCCCAGGACATGGCCAGGAAGGGACACACAGACCCAGGGCCAGGAGACTCCTTCATGTGATGCTCCTCCTCCATCCTAGACTCCTAAGCAGGTCTCAGTGTGGGAGCTCTGGCAGCTGTGGGCTGTGAGCAGAAGCAGCCAGTGAAGAAGTGGACCATGATTACCTGGGGAGCCCATGAGGGCTGCTGGGTCTTGGCGTCAGTCACAGAAACTCTGATAGGCTTTCCTTACAGCTTGTAGGAGGAGAAAACAGTCTGTGGGTAAGAATAGAGATAGCTGTAGTGGCCAGAGGGCTGGCGACCCACCCACAGTTCACCAAGGGGAACTGCCAAGGACCCAAAAGACTTAACCCAAAGTGCTTCTTTTCCCCTGGTCTCTGTCACTGCTATTTAAAGAAGTCGAGTCATCTGGTTCCACCCCCTCTGCCCTCACCCAAGCCAAAGCAGAGGTTTCCTTTCCTGTTAGGGTCATGGAGGAAGGGATCAGCTGAAGACTGTCATGGAGAAGGAATGGAATCTGCATACAGAAGGGATGGGGAGGAACGTTGTGTTAGCTACTGGGGATGGGAACAGCATATGCGCTAATGATAATTGCTTATTAAGTGTTGGTGATGCTCTGGGCTCCTTAATCACATGCAATTAAGTGATTACACACTATGAGATGGGAACCACTGTGGCTGTGGCTTCATGTTAAAGCACAGAGGATGAGCACTTGGTTAGCTAGGGCCTGTGAGTTTTCAGTGTTGCTGGAGCTGGGACTTGAACCCAAGGCGTTCATAATCATGTTCCATCTTTAGAAGACTAAGTTCCACTCCCTTAAATATACCACAGTATTCCCTCCTGTACATGTATATATTATAAACAGCAATACCTTCATCCTACCAGGCTCTGGAGTCTTGCCTGATCCTGCCCCTGCCTCTGCTGTGGGCTGCCTTTGGCACCTGCTGCTCTCCCCTCACTGTTGGACATACACTGTTTCTAATCATTATGTAAACAGTAACACAAAGAATGTTCTCCCTGCATTTAATTGCCTGCATTTGAGATTATTTCCTTATGATATTTCTAGAAGTAGAATGGTCTCTGTCCTCCTGGGCCCAGCCTGCCCCTTGCCTGGGCCCTGGGAAGCATTCATTGGACATAAAATCTCTAGCCTCTGAGGACACAGCCCCCCATCTGCCTCTCCTTATAGGTGAGCAATTCCATGCAGTTTGCTTTTCTGGCTCCACAATCAATTCTCCTGGAAAGAAACAAAGAGGCCTTTGACTCTGATTTCATACAAGAGACTTGTCTGGCATCATGAGCTTTTGATGATTCAGTTTCTAAGGGGGTTCTCCTTCTCTCCTTCTCTTTTTGAGACAGGGTCTCCCTGTAGCCCCAGCTGTCCTGGAACTCACTATATAGACCAGGCTGGCCTTGAACTCACAGAGATCTGCCCGAGTGCTGGGATTAAAGGTGTGGCTGCCCTTTCCTCCTTTTACACCCTCTTCCCTCTCTGTCACCCTTCTCCATCTGCATCTCCGTCTCATCCCCCCGACCCTGAGGCAGTGTTTCATGTAGCCCAGGCTGACCTCAAACCCACTATTTAGCCTAGGAGAACCTTGAACTTCTGATCCCTCTGCTTCCATCTCCCCAGTGCTTTGCTGGGATTACAGGTGTGCACCACCACATCCTGCCCAAGCCTTCCTAAACATCCATGAAGATCAAGAGGAGAAAGAAAAAAGAGAATATTTAAAAAGCCTAAGAGCCAGCCATAGTCTAAGGACTGGCAGGTGTTTCAAATTCCTCCCCCTGCCCCAGTGACATTCAGGGTCAAGTTCTCAGATTCAGAACCTGCATTCTCTCCCGCTCCTGTTCAGTGGTGCTGCCAGGGACTTGAGACTTCAGGAGACAGGGGCAGAATCATTTCATCATGGCCAGCTCCTCAGGCAAGGAGTATTAATGCAGAAATATGTTTTAAAGCTAGCATACTGGCCAAAGAATTGAAATGTCCAGATGCCATTGGGTGTTCATTGCTGCCAGCTGTGGGCACACATCCCCTCTGTGGCCAGTTACCAACTGTGCATCTGAGTCATAATCAAACACAGCCTCTGGCTTGATATGCCCAGCACAGGGAAAGGTTACAGAGTTTTAGAGGACAATTAGCAACACCCAACCAGAATTGAATCGTGCCTGGGGAGAGGGGCACAGCTATCCATTGTCTCTAGCAGACAGCAGAATAAGGGTGTCCACAGAAACAGTGTTCAGAGCCACAAGGAGCAGCTCAGAACAGCACAAAAAGGGGGAAAGTACTGGCTGTCCAACCATAACGAAGCAGACAAACTAGAGTTCACTAATGCCAGAGAGTATCCACCCCCCACCCCTGCTGCTCCTGAAAGTAGCTGGAGAACAAACCATTGTGGAGACTTGTAGAACAGAGGTTGACGGGAAATGTGCGTGCATGTGTTTGTATATATGAGTGTTGTTGTGGTGACAAAAACTGTAAGTTAATTTTCAATATCTTTACACCAATAAAAATCCTCAGTAATTCTGGGATCCTATAAGCTAGGACTGGGCTGTCCTCTCTTAGGAGCTTCAGGATCTCAGACCAGCACAAGCTTCCTGGTCTCCACTTTCCCACGGCCCCTGTGCTCCAACCTTTTGGTCTCTGAGCTGGTCAACAGCATGGTAGGAGTGAGCTGAGCAGGCGTCCCAACTCTTACCAGGTGGAAAGCAGAGGTTCAGAGAGGGGAAGGGCCACACCCAGGGTCACACAGCTCTGATTCTGACAGTGAAGAGGAAAATGTGATTTTTATAATAATTCGAAAGTTCTAGTACATTCTCTGTCTCCCCACAGCCTGCCCTTCAATCTTTCAATATACAGCTTATGGTGCTGTTTCTATGGTTGTACATCTTGCCCCTCCCTGCCCCCACACTGGTTCACTTCTCCACCTGGATACTGGGGACAGCCTCTGCCTTCCATCTCTACCGGACAGAGACTGAACAGAGGCCAGGTGAGGCCAGGGGATGCAGGATTACCATTGATCTGTTCAGTTTCCTTCTGGGGTCCTGAACAAGACACTCTCTCCTGGGTCTCATTTTCCCCCATGAAGCCTGGCAGAGAGACAGTGCAAGTCTCACAAGTCAACATTTTCCTCAACCTGCTCATAGTAACAACACCCCAGGGCCAAGACAGGATGGTCAGGACACAGGATGTGGGTGGGTGACTCTGAGTCTTTTGCCTTGCCCCATCCCCATCTTTTAATTCCTCCATCTCCCAAAGGGCACCCAGAATAGCCATCTTTTCTCTGTGATCTCCTGATCACATCTCAGGTATTCTGGAAATAAGTTGAACCCTGGGCGGCTTAGTGATTCCATTTGAGGGGTTTCCCACCTGCTCTTGTGCTTAGAGCTGTGGGGGAAGAAGAATCAGCCAGACTCCAACCTGGCTGTATGTCTAGATCTGTTGCTGCTGGGCCTGCGACCTGAGCTGATGCCTAACCTTGTTGAGATCATCTATAAAATGGGGTGATAATCTTTCTCTTTTGAAGTGGCTGTGAAGATGAGCAGGTGAGGAGCTTATGTTTCCCAGCTTACCGAGCAATCTTCTCCTGGCTGAGTTCAGAAGAGACTCAGCTGTTCGTAGTAGTGTGGATCCAGCCACCAACTGTGTGCAGAGTCATAATCAAACATAGCCTCTGGCCTGATACACCCACACAGGAAAAGGAAAGTGAAAGCCCAGCCTTTGTAGGAAACCAAGATGCCAGGCCCTAGGGTGAGGTGAGCCTAAAATTTATAGGTCCAGGCTGCATTCTCTGCTAAAGGGAGGGGTGCTGAAAACAGTGACTCTAATAATCCCTGACTTGCAGAACACTGTGAGACTAGCAGGAGGAAGTGGCCCAGTCATAAAAGTGCAGGCATCTTGGTCAACAACCCTTAGCTTATCTCCTGGTCCTGAACAAATAATTCAGCTATCCCTGGCTAAGAGATTAGGCCAGGTTAAAGGTTTACTCCTGAGCTAAAAGCTAAAAGTTCACCATGCTCTTAGCTCTAAGAAAGAAAACATTGTGGCTGATAAATTACTGGATGGGCATTGATAACCTTGAGTAAAAGCTTAAGAATCCTTCTGGCGCCAACTAGCAGACTAAATGTCCTGTTTCTTTGTACCCTAAATCTTTGTATGTGACTGCCATATCCCACTTGACTGCTAGTTCCTTGGGATGTATAAAAACCATCTGAATTTTAAAATAAGTTGTCCTGTTGGGAAGACACAGGTCCCAAAGTTTATGACTCTGTCGCCGCCAATCAGACCCTCTTCCCTGAAGCCAGTAGGTCCCCCGCTAAGCAAAGCAAACCTGAGTCCCAACAAGCCTTCTGAGTGGCTCATGATCCAAGCAACAGTCAAAACTCGCCACTATTTGGGCACTACAGTCAGTCTCACTCTCTGAACCAACTCACTCAGAGGATCAAGCTCAGACCCAACACTTCAGGTCCTTCTCTACACATCCCATCTTGCTTGGGAATCTCTGTGGTTTTCAAGAAGAAAGTCTTGATGACTGGTGAGATGGCTCAGAGGTTGAGTACTGGCTGTTCTTGTAGAGAACCTGGTTCAGTTCCTAGCACCCACGTGGCAGCTAACAACCATTTGTATCTCCAGTTTCAGAAGATCTGATGCCTTCTTCTGGTCTCTGTGGACATTACTGGCATGGATATATACATGCAGGAAAAACACTCATACACATAAAATAAAATAAAATGTACTCACTTGCCCCGCCCCACCTCCAAAAAAGAGACTTGCTTTTACAGACTGGGACTCTCCACAGAAGACTTCCCAGCTCTAGCAAACTCTATTGACATACTTGATTTTCCCCTATACCCTCACCAGCAGCCCCAGAATGGTTTCCAATCCTGGGGCCTGTTGATTCTGATTGTGGTGCACAGTGCCTCGATATATGCCTTCCTGGGTTTTTCTGCCAAGAGCTCCTGCCCTGTCCTGGAGCCATCATGCATTGTTTTCTCCCAGAAGCTCCCATCATCCTCCATAGCAAGCTCCACTGTCCTTGTGGAGAAGGGCCAAAATCCACTGCTTGGCCCAGATCCCAATTTGTAAACACACACAGCTCAATGGCTTTGGGACAGTTCTGTTTTGCTTCAGGAAGAAGGAACTTTGAGCAGGACTGGACCCCAGGAGCCAAATGATCTTTGAATCATGACGGATTTTAATTCCATACATAGATCACTGGAGTCTGATGACCTCTGTGCCCATAATTTGAGGGACAGCAGGTGACTCCAGAGGACCCACACACTACAGTTTGCAGTGCTTTTATCCCTTCATTTGATTGGAGTGCTATAACCATTCCTTAAGATTGCATCCTTTCCCAAGTTTAGAAATCAACATGTAGTCATTGTGCATGTTCATGGGATGTGCTGTAATTTTTCAGGTATGGAAACAGGTATGAGGAGAGCCATTGGCTTTCATTGACAAACTCAGAACATGAGCCAAGACTCAAGGCAAGACTGAGTATTCAGCATTAGACATTTGGGACCACCCTTGTTTAAAATTATTTTTGATCATTTTTCGTCTATAACTGTATTAGTCAGCGTTCTCTAAAGAAACAGAACCAGTAGAATGAATATATATATTTATCAGCTTAGCTCACAGGATAGAGTCTGAGTAGTCCAAAAATGGCTGCACCACACTGGAGAGGCTGAGAATCCGTAGTCACTCAGGCCACAAGGCTGGATGTCTCAGTAGTCCCAATCTGGCACTGAAAGTCTGACAAATTCCAAAAGATCAGCTAGTCTTCAGTCTACAGCAGCAAGATGAACTCACCAGCGAGAGAGAAGGCAAGCAGCAAGAAGCCTGGCATTCTCCTCTCTGTGGCCTTTTATACCAGCTGCCATCAGAAGTAACACCTACATTTAGGGTGTGTCTTCCAGCATCCAATCAAGAAGATCTCTCTCATTTCAGTTAATCCCAGATCCAGTCAAGTTGACACCCAGGATTAGCCACTACAATAACCTTGCTCCTGATTCTTCCCCTTCTTAGCATGACTTTAGCCTGTCAGAGAAAACCACAAAGAGATACAAAACCATGTAAAATGTCCACAGGCCATAGTGATGTGGACTCTAATCAGAGCACAGAATGGACTGGAATATTCACAGACGTTTGAACAGTCAGTCTCAGGTTGGGGCAGTAGGATGGAGCTGCAACTTCATTTCCCAGGGTTTGGAAGGCAGTAAGGGTCTCTAACTCCAGGGGGATGACCAGAGCCTATTCCACCTGGACTTCTGGAAGATCTGCTGTATAACAGCTCAGATTGACCCATTTCAGAGTTGGGGACTCCGACGATCCCTTTGGTTTAAAGACAACTTCAGGTAATGGGAATGTGATCTTAATGCAATGAAGAGCAAACGTGAAATGGCTGTGGAAGGGGCCGGAGTCTATACCAGGCTCAGCAGACCTGTGTCTGTATGTGAATGAGGGACATGTAGTTAACCAGGGCTTTACTGTGTAGAGTAAGCACACATTCAGGTGCTGCTGGACTTGAGAGTTCTTCCTTGGTATCTGTCGCTACCATCCATCTCCTTCTTCATCCCCTGGCATGATGTTATATGAGTCCAGTCACCTGAACCAAGTTATTCTGACTCCTGAACCCTGGGAAGGGAATCTTAAGTTCCTGGTGTTGGAGCCAGGTTCTCTTGTTGGGACTTGGATGGATTTTTTTCATTAACCTGTCCTAATCCCTTCAATGGATGTCTTTTTGTTTCTGTCAACCTGAGGTCATTAAGGTTCAGTGGAAACTTCAGTACTCAGTGTTGCACCAAGTACCCAGGAGATATGTAAGGAAGCGTTTGCATTATGGAAGAACTGGGGATAATTGACTAAGAAGTGAAGCATATTATTCAAGTGAGAGGCAGGAAGGTGGCTTTGACTCTGGATTGTTTAGGAAGAAGTAGAAGAATCCATGCAGGGCACAGGGGAACATGGACTGAAGAGGGTTAGAGGGAAGGTGAGAGCCCTTCAGCGGGACTGTACACACAAAAGGACTTACTAAGCCATGGAGTGACAGGAGATGGTGTGGTAGGTTTGCACACTGCGCTCTTGCTCCCATTCAGGTCTTCCACTCAGATGCCCCACATGGAAAAATGGAGGATTGATGTCCCCTGAACAGGCCTATGTGGAGCTTCTTCTCTTTTTCCTGTCAAGGAAGACTCTGAGGATGTTTCTTGAAGGTTCCTCAGGTGGTTCTTGTGGGTCTGATCACCTGTGAATGATGAACTGAAGGACAAGCCATTTTATCCACTGACACCCTACCCTGTTTCTCTCCTCCCTTCATTCTGCTCTGGAATCTTCTGGGTATGAATCTTACCCTGAATGTTTCTTTGTACATATATGGCTGCAGCAGGTACCATTTACATCATGAATTTGTGTTTGTTTATTTTAAGGGTAATGGAAGCCACCAGGGGGTTACAAGCATGTGCTTAATCAAATCTCTATACTCAAGGGACAATGTGGCTTAATGGGCACAATGTATGGCACAAAGGAACCATGAGGAAGACCATTCTAGAATCTCTTAAAGGAGTGGTGGAGGAACATAGGGTGGCTTGGATGAGGATATTTGATATCCAGTCATTTTTCTAGGTCCCACTATAGCTGACTCTTACATATACCTGTGCATAGGCCCCTGATCCTAGTCAATGCTGATCTTGGGTGATGTTGAAAAATGTACCCATGCTCAGTCCAGCCTGGCATGTGTGAACTTCATCCAGTAGCCAGATGTTGTGTGCAGGTGAGAGTCTGAAAGAGATCCCTGGTTGGAAAGAGAGTATCTGTCCAGGAAATGAAAGACTTGCTCCTTGACAGACTGGACATGGTTCATGATGAAGGAAAGTCAGGCAGCCAATGCCCTGAGAACCAGTTGGCCAACACAACACCATATCAGTCTGTCATGGAAGAATCCAGCTTGGCCTGAGTGTAGCCACCTATTAGTAAACTACCAAGAATGTCAGCTGGGCGTGGCAGGGCACGCCTTTAATCTCAGCACTCAGGAGGCAAAGGGAGGCAGATCTCTGTGAAATTGAGGCCAGCTTGATCTGTACAGCCAGTTTCAGGCCAGCTGGACTACAGGGGGACCCTGTCAAAAATACAAGCAAACTAACAAAGAATGACTATGAGGCACCCACCTACTTTCCCTGCTTAGGCTTCCTGTTGTTGGAATGTCATGTGAGGTTTTACAGCCGGACCTGGAAGCTGTCAGTTTCTAGAACGGTGCCTCACATTCTTGGTTCCAACAGATACATTCCCACTTTGGTGGGAGCCATCCTTATGTTGCTCACCGTGTATAACCCCTCCTTCTAACCCATGTGATGTGGAGCACCAGGCCCCCTGCTTTGCCTGTCTTCACGTTGTCCATGGCTCCCCATTAAATATCAGAGTTTGGTGACATCCTGACTCTGCCTTTTTCTTGAATCTCATGTCACCTTATCCTATGGCAATCGATTGTTTCAAATTCCACTTTTCTCCATTTTTTTCTTGGTAATATTTATTGAATCAAAGTCTATAAAACAAAAGATGAGGAGTCAGGTAATTCAAGCCATCATCTTGCCCAGCACTCTTTCCCTAGCTTGAAAGGAAGCTAAGGCTCACAGGCTGCATCTAATGACTCCCC